TGGCAGATTCAGCCTGACAAACACTCAGGATCAGCTCTGGATCACCCTTCTGAGGGCCAGGAATAGTGAAGGTGGCACTGCCTGCTGGGAGACTTGTCCTAGGTCCCAGTCCTACCAAGGGCTCAGTTTCCTCATCTGTGAAACAGGTAGAATATTTAAGCCTCAATGTGTTGGGGACCATTTGGCCAATGAGAAACAACTTCAAATCCCCTCCAATCCCCTGTGCCAGATCTACCCTCCCTCCCTCTGTACCTCTCTCCCCCAAGGGAGGAGATAGGCAGTGGGCATTTGAGCACTAATGAGTACAGTAATTGGGGTCCTGGAGTAATTTTGTCTTTGCCTGTAAGTGTGGGAAGATTTGGGGACCATCTTAGGGGCTACCATGTCTTAGAAACCTCTGCCTACAAGGACATCTCAGGGTGTCAGAGCTGGTCAGGCCTAATAGTCTCCTACCATCCTAGGAAAGAGAGGGAAGGGGTTGTGCCCCAGGCCACACAGACAATCAGGACAGAGAGGTGACCTTCCAGCTGCCTTCAGTACTGCCCAAGACTGTTCCAGATGGGCTGGAACACACTTGCACCCCAAGCCGTCCAGCAGCTTGCTGTCCTTCAAAGTTGACTTGAGTCCACTTCCTCCTTCCTCAACACCCTGACACATCCCCCCACTGTTAACCACCCTCTCCCTGAAGCCCACAGCAGCTGTCGGGCCTCTCTTGCTGCTTTCTGTGCAGGGTGAACTTTGCTTCTTTCCTTAGCATCTCCCCCGGCAGCTGGTCTATTACTGCCTCCCCTTAGGGCTTGGCACAGGCCAGGGGTGGTATGATTGCCTGTAGCCCCGAGCCAGCGTCCCCCAACAACCTCTCCACTGCTCTCAAGGTCTCAGACGCAGTCAAGGTTGCTCCTTGGGTGGGCAGTGTGGCACATATCGTAAGCGAACTTCTCTGGGGTTCAGCTGGGCTAGAGACAAGGCTGCACTCCCAGGCCAGCCTCTGTCCTCTGGGATGCACCAGGTGACCCTGTCTCCCAGCCTCCCAGGTTGGCTGGGGGAGCCCAGGCAACTTTGCTACTCTCCCATTTCACCTCTGTGCTCAGCAGTTCAGCATCCCACCCAGTGCTTTCCTCTGCTCTGATGTCCTCAGCTTCCAGCTCTGGGCCAAGGGTTCTTGAATTTTAGCTCCTCAGAGACTCAAACTCAAGGTTTGTTATCAGTTTGCTGGGAGCTGGTCAGGCTGCTCTGGTCCATGGGTGAGCATGAGCCTGGGACGAGCTTGGCCTGCAGACCGGGCCTTCCAGCGTCTGCAGATGCCCTCCTCGGATGACTGCTCCCCTGTCCCTGGGAGACCCTGCACTCACTTCTCACTGGAGTCTGCACGGTAGCATTTCTCCCGACTCTCTTCCTCATCAAGAGACCTTTCTTGCTGCCCCCATCTCTTGAGGGAGGTACCCCAGTGTCCCAGGCCCTTTTATTGGAATGACCTGCCTACCACAGATCCCCCTCCACCTACTGTCACGGCCTTAGTTCACACCATATCTGTCTCAGTTCATTTAGTGCTGCTATAACAGAATGCCAGACGGGACAATTTGTGACGAACAGAAATTTATTGGCTAATTGTTCTGGTGGCTGAGCAGTCCAAGATCAAGGGGCGGCATCTGGTTGGGGCCTTGTTGCCCATTATCCCCTGGTGGACAGCAAAAGAGAGGGTGTGAGAGCAAGAGATGGAACTCCCAGCCTCAAGCCCTTTTATAACAGCACTAATCCATTCATGAGGGTGGAGCCTGCATGACCCAAACCCTGCCCGTTAGGTTCCACCTCCCAGCACTGTTGCATTGGGGATTCAATTTGTAATACATGCTTTTGGGGGATGCATTCAAACCACAGCAACATCCTATTTTGCAGGGTGCTTGCCATAACCTGTTAATTGGCCTCCTTAGACATGGGACTCGAGTTGGTGACCTGTGAGCTGAGCAGAATCTGGTGGCAGTGTTTAAGAAATTTTTGGGGGGGCTGGCCCGTGGCTCACTCGGGAGAGTGCGGTGCTGATAACACCAAGGCCCCGGGTTCGGATCCNAACAGGTAGAATATTTAAGCCTCAATGTGTTGGGGACCATTTGGCCAATGAGAAACAACTTTAAATCCCCCCCAATCCCCTGTGCCAGATCTACCCTCCCTCCCTCTGTACCTCTCTCCCCCAAGGGAGAAGATAGGCAGTGGGCATTTGAGCACTAATGAGTACAGTAATTGGGGTCCTGGAGTAATTTTGTCTTTGCCTGTAAGTGTGGGAAGATTTGGGGACCATCTTGGGGGCTACCATGTCTTAGAAACCTCGGCCTACAAGGAAATCTCAGGGTGTCAGAGCTGGTCGGGCCTAATAGTCTCCTACCATCCTAGGAAAGAGAGGGAAGGGGTTGTGCCCCAGGCCACACNGCCCTACACTCGTGCCCCTGCTGGGCCAGGCTGTGCGCTCAGGCCCCAGACCCCATTGAAAGTTCCAAAGAAGCAATTTGGCTTCATGTGGGATGTGCCTAGTTGGGCGAGGCAAGGGATTGCCCTTTGGGAAAACAGGTAGTGTGGGAAGATTTGGGGACCATCTTAGGGGCTACCATGTCTTAGAAACCTCTGCCTACAAGGACATCTCAGGGTGTCAGAGCTGGTCAGGCCTAATAGTCTCCTACCAGCCTAGGAAAGAGAGGGAAGGGGTTGTGCCCCAGGCCACACAGACAATCAGGACAGAGAGGTGACCTTCCAGCTGCCTTCAGTACTGCCCAAGACTGTTCCAGATGGGCTGGAACACACTTGCACCCCAAGCCGTCCAGCAGCTTGCTGTCCTTCAAAGTTGACTTGAGTCCACTTCCTCCTTCCTCAACACCCTGACACATCCCCCCACTGTTAACCACCCTCTCCCTGAAGCCCACAGCAGCTGTCGGGCCTCTCTTGCTGCTTTCTGTGCAGGGTGAACTTTGCTTCTTTCCTTAGCATCTCCCCCGGCAGCTGGTCTATTACTGCCTCCCCTTAGGGCTTGGCACAGGCCAGGGGTGGTATGATTGCCTGTAGCCCCGAGCCAGCGTCCCCCAACAACCTCTCCACTGCTCTCAAGGTCTCAGACGCAGTCAAGGTTGCTCCTTGGGTGGGCAGTGTGGCACATATCGTAAGCGAACTTCTCTGGGGTTCAGCTGGGCTAGAGACAAGGCTGCACTCCCAGGCCAGCCTCTGTCCTCTGGGATGCACCAGGTGACCCTGTCTCCCAGCCTCCCAGGTTGGCTGGGGGAGCCCAGGCAACTTTGCTACTCTCCCATTTCACCTCTGTGCTCAGCAGTTCAGCATCCCACCCAGTGCTTTCCTCTGCTCTGATGTCCTCAGCTTCCAGCTCTGGGCCAAGGGTTCTTGAATTTTAGCTCCTCAGAGACTCAAACTCAAGGTTTGTTATCAGTTTGCTGGGAGCTGGTCAGGCTGCTCTGGTCCATGGGTGAGCATGAGCCTGGGACGAGCTTGGCCTGCAGACCGGGCCTTCCAGCGTCTGCAGACGCCCTCCTCGGATGACTGCTCCCCTGTCCCTGGGAGGCCCTGCACTCACTTCTCACTGGAGTCTGCACGGTAGCATTTCTCCCGACTCTCTTCCTCATCAAGAGACCTTTCTTACTGTCCCCATCTCTTGAGGGAGGTACCCCAGTGTCCCAGGCCCTTTTATTGGAATGACCTGCCTACCACAGATCCCCCTCCACCTACTGTCACGGCCTTAGTTCACACCATATCTGTCTCAGTTCATTTAGTGCTGCTATAACAGAATGCCAGACGGGACAATTTGTGACGAACAGAAATTTATTGGCTAATTGTTCTGGTGGCTGAGCAGTCCAAGATCAAGGGGCGGCATCTGGTTGGGGCCTTGTTGCCCATTATCCCCTGGTGGACAGCAAAAGAGAGGGTGTGAGAGCAAGAGATGGAACTCCCAGCCTCAAGCCCTTTTATAACAGCACTAATCCATTCATGAGGGTGGAGCCTGCATGACCCAAACCCTGCCCGTTAGGTTCCACCTCCCAGCACTGTTGCATTGGGGATTCAATTTGTAATACATGCTTTTGGGGGATGCATTCAAACCACAGCAACATCCTATTTTGCAGGGTGCTTGCCATAACCTGTTAATTGGCCTCCTTAGACATGGGACTCGAGTTGGTGACCTGTGAGCTGAGCAGAATCTGGTGGCAGTGTTTAAGAAATTTTTGGGGGGGCTGGCCCGTGGCTCACTCGGGAGAGTGCGGTGCTGATAACACCAAGGCCCCGGGTTCGGATCCCACATAGGGATGGCCGGTTCACTCACTGGCTGAGCGTGGTGCTGACAACACCAAGTCAAGGGTTAAGATCCCCTTACCGGTCATCTTTTAAAAAAAAAAAAAAAAATTTTTTTTTGTTCCTTTAGTTGTGGCCTGTGGTGTCAGCTCCTCACAGGTGTGCCCATCATTTCTTGTTGTTGTACCCCTGCCCAGCTTTCTCACATTATCCACCTGGTCCTTTGACTTTGTAAGCTCTGCCTTTATAAAGGCAGGGGCCATATCTGTCTGTCTAATTTCAGGATCCACAGTGCAAAGCATGTCACAGAGTAGGAGGTCAATAAATATATGTTGTTGAGTGAACATTACTCCCCTCTTCAGAAGTCTTTGATGAAATATATTGAGTTTTTAAAGAGGTGCAGAATGTTCAATGTGTGCAGAAAATAATCATGATTCTAGGTGCGTAGAATATTTCTGGAAGGATTGATATAAACTTTGTTGTAGTGGATGCCGCTGGAGAAGGGAAGTGGGTAGTTGGGACCTGGGGAGGAAGCAGGATATACCTTGTTCCTTCTGAATTTAATTCAAAGCTTACAAAATTAAGCAGAGATTTACTTCACTTAAAAAAGGTCAGTTGACGGCATTCAAGGCCTCTCCTGCCGTGGGCCCACTCCTACCCTCCCGGCCCCCTGCCTCTGATGTGGTTTTCTCTCCCATCCCAGTAGTGCCTGATTTGAGATGGGGTCCCAGGTATCAGTGGACACGGGAGCTCTGCACGTGGTGATCGTGGGTGGTGGCTTCGGCGGGATTGCAGCCGCCAGCCGGCTGCAGGCGCTGAATGTCCCCTTTGTGCTGGTGGACATGAAGGACTCCTTCCACCACAACGTGGCAGCTCTCCGGGCCTCCGTGGAGAGTGGTAATGTGCTTCTTTTCGGGGCTGTCTTTGTGAGAGTGGTTTTGTCACCACTGTGGGGCATGATGTCAGGGCTAAGGCTGGTTTTCTGCACTCAGGGCAAGGTGCCTAAATTCCAACATTAGACAAGTCCCGGAGAATCTCAAGGTCACTGCTGTTGAGCAGCTACATAATGGGGCCCCAGAAGTAAGAGCTGAGCTTTTCTCAGGACCTGAAGCCCAGATTGGCCTTTAGGGGGTAGTGGGTACCCCAGATATGCTCACTGGCTCAGCTTTTTGGTGGAGGGTGCCCCTGTTGGTATGCAGCTCAGGAAAGGTTCTGAGTTACTCTGGCTTCCTGTGGACAGCCCGGATCCACACTGTGACCTCTTCTGTGTCTGTTCCCCAGGGTTTGCCAAGAAGACATTCATTTCCTACTCGGTGACCTTCAAGGACAACTTCCGGCAGGGCCTGGTGGTCGGGATAGACCTGAAGAACCAGACAGTGCTGCTGCAGGATGGCGAGGTGAGCCTGGTGGGGCTGACCTGACCATCAGCTGGCTTCAAGGAACCCTCTGGGGGACCTGGGCGGGGTCTGGGACCCCTAAACCCCATTTGGTGCTGGGCGGATAGCAGATTCTTCATAAACAAAGGCTTGACCATGTTATTGGGCCTGCCCCCTTTCAAAAGCAAACCACTCAAAAGTCAAATGGTGAAAATGGAAGTCAGCTTCTATTTAGGAACACCAGTGACCTGCGGAGAGATGTTAGGCTAACCCATGCCTCCTGTAAACCTGGAGGAGACTGGCCAGGCTGAAGCCGTCTCCAAGACTCAGATTTACTCAGAGTTTTTTTTTTTTTTTTTAAAAGATGACCGGTAAGGGGATCTCAACCCTTGGCTTGGTGTTGTCAGCACCACGCTCAGCCAGTGAGCAAACCGGCCATCCCTATATAGGATCCGAACCCGTGGCCTTGGTGTTATCAGCACCGCACTCTACCAAGTGAGCCACGGGCCGGCCCCTACTCAGAGTTTTTTTAAGAGGGGGCTGAGGGAATGGAACCTGGGAAGTGAAAAGCAGGGGGGAGGGGGAGGTGAGTCATGGGGTCTCGATGCAAGGAGCCAGGTGCAAGGTCTTGCCAAGACTTTGTCTGGTTTCTGCTACTGTTCTTGCTCTTATCTCAGGGTCCTGCTGGAGGGGTGGGATCAGCATAGCTTTACTGATGTCTTCCTTGGTTTCCCAGGGTCTGGATAGTACGCGTAAGTCTGCAACTCCAGGCTGGCTGGAAAACAATGTTACGTTCATGTAAATAATGTCATCTTGCCCCATAACCAAAGTTCAAAATATGAAATAAGCATGGGAAAACAGGGCACTCAAAGAAATGCATGCCAAGGAAAAAGCTGTGTCCTTTTAACATCTTTTAGAACCCATGTGGTTTTAGGTCCTAACATGGCTTCAGTCTTGCTCACTCCAGCAACCATAGCAACCACAAGAACATGGTGATACATATTTCTTGAGTCTTTCCTGTATGCCAGACACTGTCCCAAGCCTTTACATAAATCTCATATAATGTTCACCGTGACTCTATGAGGTAGGTTTTACAGAGTGGCTTGCCTGAGATCCCACAGCTGGCAAGAGACTAAGCCAGGATTTGAACCCAGGCAATGTCACCCCAGAGCCCACGCTCTGAACGCCAGTGTCCCAAATGAATCCCAGGTGTGGCTGGCCCAGAGGGGGCCTTTCTCACTGTCTAGAATCAACAGATAGGCACAAACATGATCCCACGTCCCCTGGATTGGGAAGTCACTGAGGGTAGAGGCTTCCCTTCCCTTGTCTTGGTATTCCTTACCCTGGTGTATGTAGCTCGGTGCCTGGTATATACCTGCAATGACTTGAGCTCCATCAATGATCTGCCACCAGCCCACGCACTGGATGGAGGGTCCCCTCCAGCCTTGCCCCTGACTCAGTACTTGATGCTAAGGGGGGATTAAAAAAGACACAATTTCTCTGCTCAATGAGTATGTGATTTAGTGTGAACCAATTGTCTGTAAGTTACTTTTAGGGCTGGAGAGTCTCCTGGCTGGAAAGATTACCAAGTGTCTCCTAGTCCTGAGGTTTGGGCCGTGCTTTTCAGAGCCCTGGAAGAGTCCATTAAGGCATCTTGGGGCTCTAAGGGGGACCTGGGGGCCGACCCTCCCATTGGAGCAGCTTGTTTTTGTCAACTTTATATATTTAGGCTACAAACATGATTTCCTTTCCTTTCTTTCTTTCTTTTTTTTCTTTGGTGAGGGTAGGAGTGGGGCCTGTCACCTAACTCCGCGTTGGAAGCTAGAATGCTCTTCTTCCCCGTGAGCCTCTGTTTCTTGCTGACCTGCCTCCTGCTGCGGGAGCTCAGCTCTCCTGTTTCCAAGGTGGATGGTGCTGGTGAAATCTGCTTCCTGAGATGCTCCCCCCACTTCTAGTGCTATCCCTTGGGCCAGCCAGTTCGGCGATTTTGCTCCCCTCAACTGAGGGCTGCCTCGGTGTGTCCAGAGGGCCTCCTCTGCCTGGTGCTCCTTGGCCGGTGAGCGCCTGGTGTTGGATGCAGAAGCCCAGGCCTCCGCCGCCCTGTCCTGCCCTCATCTTTCTTTTTCTTGTTCCTCACAGGCCCTGCCCTTCTCACATCTTATCCTGGCCACAGGCAGCACCGGACCCTTCCCGGGCAAGTTTAATGAGGTTTCCAGCCAGCAGGCTGCCATCCAGGCCTATGAGGACATGGTGCAGCAGGTGAGCTGTCTGCTGGCAGGTGCCAGGTGGTGAGGCAGACCCGAGGACAGCTGTGCTGATGCCTGGGGCTGCATCAGGGAGGCCAGGGAGGACTTCAGAGCTGCTGTCAGCAGCCGTGGAGTTGGAGAGTTACTAGGAAGAGACTTCCAGGAGGAGAGCTTGGGCCTGTCCCTGGAGCCTGCACCTGAGCATCCTAGACCTGCCCATATTGCACTTGGTCTGCCCCCGATTAGGCTCTGTGGGGCTTTGCATGCTCACATCCCCTCCCTTAGGTGCAGCGCTTCCCAGTGTGTAGAGCAGGCTGTGATCTCAGTCAGTTTTCACAGCGATCCTGCGAGGTGGGTAGGAGGAAGCACATTTGAACCTGATTTGGGGGGGGTTCTCAGCCCATCTTTGGCTGAGGCACCCTCCCGGTAGGCTGAAGACCAGGCAGGGATGGGTGTGGACGTGTGTCTTTTGTTTCCTCCTTCTCCAGGTCCAGCGCTCACAGTTCATCGTGGTGGTGGGAGGAGGCTCTGCGGGAGTGGAGATGGCTGCAGAGATTAAAACAGAATATCCCGAGAAAGAGGTGGGCGGGCTGCCTTAGCTTTGGACTCTGAGTGGTCAGCTTCTTTCTGCATTGTCTAAGGAACATCAGGAATTTGCTCAGGGCCTGGAAGGCTGCAGCTCCACTCACATAAACCAGGAGTGTGTGTTTCTCATCTTGTGCTAACGTGCGATTCTGCAGGGAATTTTCCCCAGAGAGCCAGGATCCCACAGCACCTGACATTATGGAGCTGCTCTGGGTGTGTCCTCATTCAGTAAGAGGTCCTGCCCTCTGGATTAACCAGCAGCATCATGCCCAGGGGAGATACCTTACAAAAGTTGAACTCCCGTGTTCCCTTCAGAATTCAGGTCTTTGTGATATAAATATGGACTTTGATAATCTTTTCTTGTTGACAGCCAGCTTGGACAAAGACACCTCAGTTGGCTTTTTGGTCCCTTTGTCTGCTACAGTAGTCCTTACCCTGGACAGCCACACTGTGGTCCACACCCTGTGGCAGTGGGGGAGCCTGCGGTGTGGCCCTTGACTACCCACGCTGGGGAGTGACTGGCCAGCACTGGCCTCTGCCCATGGGAGGGTGGCATCAGCCTGCCCTGTTCCCTTCTAATGCTGGAGAGATCGAGAACTTGTCTGGTGCCTGGAGAGAAAGAGAACACCTTGGCACGCTGGCCAGGCCTGAGTGATGCTTGTAATTACAGGGCCTCTAGGCAAGAGCGTGCTTAAGGCCCATGCTAGCTCAGCTTCTGAGAGCCCCGCAAGCCTGTGGATGGTTCTTTTTTCTCTAGGGATAGGCAGGTTGGTTTTGAAAAGAATGATCAATATGAGTTAATTTATATTTGTATGGCTATTCTCTGACAAATTGTTGGAAATTATTATGAATGATAGATGTAATTTATTCATTTTGATTTATGAGGGCCATCTAGGGAAAAACCAAACTTTTTTCTGAACACTCACTCAACACTTCTGTGACCAGATGTGTGGGTTTTTCCCCACACTGGTCAGTTCTCCAACACCAGCTGGGTGTCCTATAATTCAATTTAATTCTGACACTAACCAGAGTTAGCGCAGACCCCACAGATTAAGGGCCTAGTCCCATGAGATTGCCTTCACTTCAGACACCAGTTGAAACTTCTGTCTGACTTGGCTACCAATTAGAAGTTCTCATGACCCCTTCTTTGGGTTTGAAAATTTGCCAGAGCAACTCACAGAACCCAGGAAAATAGTTTACTTACTATTACTGATGTATTACGAAGGATATTTTAAAAGATGCAAATGAACAGCCAGATGAAGAGGTACCCTGGATGAGGTCTGGAAGGCCTGTCCCTGTGGAGGTGGGTTCATGACCCTCGTGGCATATGGACATATTCACTGACCTGGAAGCTCTCTGGACCCTGTACTTGAGGGATTTTTATGGAGGCTTCCTCACGTAGGCATGATATATAACTCCGTCTCCATCCCCTCTCCCATCCCTGGAGGATGGTGTTGAGCTGAAAGTTCCAACTTCTAATCATGGCCTGGTGTTTCTGGTGACAAGCCCCCATCCCGGAACCCACCAAGAGTCACCTCCTAAGAAAAAAAGATGCTCTTATCCAGGAAATTCCAGGGGATTTAGGAGCTCTGTGTCACACGCTCCTATCACTCATGAAGTTACAAGTTCTTAGGAGCACTGTGTCAGGAACGGGGGAAAAGACCAAATAGAATAAATGATTTTCCTAGCACCCCTATTTATAAGGGTTTTAAGAGCTCTTTGGAAGAAACCGGGGGCAGAGACCAGTATTTATATTTCTTCTTATTTCACCGGGGTAAAGACCAGTTGGAGGTAGTGTATTAGTCCATTTTTTGTTGCTATAACAGAATACCTGAGACTGAGTAATTTATAAGGAAAAGAGGTTTATTTGGCTTACGATTCTGGGACAGCTGCATCTGGCATGGCCTCAGGCTGCTTCTACTCATGGTGGAAAGTGGCAGCAGCCGGCGGGTACAAGCAGATCACATGGCGAGAGGAAGCAAGAGAGAGAGAAAGTGCCAGGGTCCTTTAAATAATCAGCTCTCGTGGGAACTAATAGAGTGGGATCTCACTCAGGCCCCCTGCACCCAGGGAGAGCATTAATCCATTCATGAGGGATCCACCCCCATGACTCAAACAGCTCCCAACACTGCCACATTGGGGATCAGATTTCCACGTGAGTTTTGGCAGGGACAACATGTCCAAGCTTTATCAGGTAGTAAATAAGATCAAATAACTCAGTGTACTACCATATGTTTACAATTAGACAAACAAGAGCAGCCACCCTTTATTAAGGACTTAATTTGTGCTGAGTTACATACTTTATACATATTTTCTCATCCATCATTACAACATTCCTGCAAGTGGAACTCATGCCCATCTTAGTGAGTCTTCGGGAGGTGTCCGAGTGAGTGTCGGAGATGGGATTTCAGCCCAGGGAGTCTTATTTCACAGCCCAGGCTTTGAACACGATCACAGCTGCCTCCCGGTTCCGTCTGATGACCCCAACAGCAGGTAGACCTGCCTGGAGGTGTGAATTTTAGAGCCAGCTTTAACGCCGACAGCCTGATTCATACCTGGAATGTTAATGGCTCCTATATAGATTGTATAATTATAAGTGCTCAAAGTGGCCCTAGGGGAGGCATGGGCCATGGAGCTTTGGTGTACTGCCAGTCCTCTGGCCCAGGGTGGCAGGCTGGTGCTAAAAGAGTCCACCCGGAGGTGTGGGCTCAAGCCCAGCTCGCCACTTACTGATTCCAGCTTTGGGCAAATTACTGCTCTAGGGCCTCAGTTTCCTCATCTGTTCACTGGAGGTAGGGGAGGAGGTGGGTGTTCCTGTGAGTTGGAGATATAGGGGCTCCTTCTCAGTCCCTGTGGTCTTTTTGTCCCCAGGTCACTCTCATTCACTCCCAAGTGCCCCTGGCTGACAAGGAGCTCCTGCCTTGCGTCCGGCAGGAAGTGAAGGAGATCCTCCTGCGGAAGGGTGTGCAGCTGCTGCTGAGTATGTGGGATGTTCCCTCCCTCCCCACCCCTCCCTGGCCTGGTGAGAGGTGTCACTGCCTCCAGTGGGAAGGTGCCGTGGCCCACCCTGGGCTGTCTCTCCCACTGTGTCCTGGGTTGAGCATGAAGCCCCTGGAAGCAGTCTTGCTGTCCAGCCAGAGGTCGTTTCTGTCCTCGGGCAGGACCCAGTGCTGACAGGATTTCCATGCCATGGAGGCAGCCATGTCCTGCTGCTGCTTTGGGCACAGTGCAGATGGTGGGGTGCCTATTTGCAGAATACATTTTTTAAAAAGTGCACTAAAGGATTTGCCCTGCATTATGGTATCTCTGTGGTAGAGGGCATAGGTTTTTGGTGCATTTTGAAAGTAGTGAGGAGTGTGGCTTTTGTGCTGAGCAGGAGGGAAGGGAACCACCCAGCATGTTAGAGAGTGGGGCTCTAATCCCAATGGTGTGACCCCCACACTTGACTATTCTGGGCCTCAACCCCCCATTTTTGCAGGGAGGGAGTGAAGTGTCTGCTCTGGGAGCTTCTCTCATGGCTATCACAGCCTCCATTTGGTAGCTGGGTGGGGAGGACTCTTCCCACCTCTGCTTTGGGCCATGAGGATGGCGAGCTGGCTTCTCTGTCTTCTCTGGCTTTGTCCTTTGTCAGAGGAGTACCTGGTCTCCTGCCTAGTTAGGCGGGTATAGCTGGCATTCAGAGGCATGTTTGAGGTCTTCTGGTGAATAGCTTTGAATAGCTTTTCCCAGAACTTCTTGGGAAACTCAGCTCCCCTTCCCTTCAGTGGCTTCTTGGAACTTTCCTCCAGTTGGATCCCTTGGGGTCAGATGTCCACACTGTGCTTCTCGCGGCAGTAGAGTGGACTGAGAGGGGTACGTCTGCAGTGGAGTAATGGCCTCGCTGGGCCACAGCAATCCAGGCCTTCCACAGGGTCGGCCGTGGCTTTGGTCCCAGCCTCAGTGAGGTAGCCACCGTCTGCCAACCTCCTGGTCATGGAACCCTCTTGGCAGGTGAGCGGGTGAGCAACCTGGAGGAGCTGCCTCTCAGTGAGTATCGAGAGTACATCAAGGTGCTGACTGACAAAGGCACGGAGGTGGCCACCAACCTGGTGATTCTCTGCAACGGTGTCAAGATCAACAGCTCTGCCTACCGCGGCGCGTTTGGTAAGCAGGTGGCCGAGCCATGTTCGCCTCCCCGGGCTACCTCCTCACTTTCCAGCGCTCCCTGAGACCGTCCTGCAGTCCCCGCTCCCAGGAGGCAACAGCTCCCTGCCTTCCCGCTTCATCCCGGCAGCGCACTTGCTTACTTCTGAATTGTGGCATTGAACTTTAAATTCAGGTTTAAACTCTTGCTGTGCCTTACTCAGCTGCAAGGATGGCTTAGCTCAAGGTGGCCACGGTGTCCAGAATCTTCTGAAATTAGGGCTGCTCCTATGAGTAAGAGGTGGGAACAGGTTTCAGGGAGAGGAGAAAGATCCATTTTGTTTCTTTCCTTCTCACACAGACGCAGAGGAAGCCTGGGGCCAGGCCTTTCTGCCAGCGCTCCCTGAGACCGTCCTGCAGTCCCCGCTCCCAGGAGGCAACAGCTCCCTGCCTTCCCGCTTCATCCCGGCAGCGCACTTGCTTACTTCTGAATTGTGGCATTGAACTTTAAATTCAGGTTTAAACTCTTGCTGTGCCTTACTCAGCTGCAAGGATGGCTTAGCTCAAGGTGGCCACGGTGACCAGAATCTTCTGAAATTAGGGCTGCTCCTATGGCTAAGAGGTGGGAACAGGTTTCAGGGAGAGGAGAAAGATCCATTTTGTTTCTTTCCTTCTCACACAGACGCAGAGGAAGCCTGGGGCCAGGCCTTTCTCTATGCACAGGTGCACTGCTCTCCCTAAACCCAGATCCAAACATTTGTCCACTTGAACTTGGNCCCAAACCCCCCCCCCCCCCATTTTTGCAGGGAGGGAGTGAAGTGTCTGTTCTGGGAGCTTCTCTCATGGCTATCACAGCCTCCATTTGGTAGCTGGGTGGGGAGGACTCTTACCACTTCTGCTTTGGGCCATGAGGATGGTGAGCTGGCTTCTCTGTCTTCTCTGGCTTTGTCCTTTGTCAGAGGAGTACCTGGTCTCCTGCCCAGTTAGGAGGGTATAGCTGGCATTCAGAGGCATGTTTGAGGTCTTCTGGTGAATAGCTTTGAATGCTTTTCCCAGAACTTCTTGAGAAACTCAGCTCCCCTTCCCTTCAGTGGCTTCTTGGAACTTTCCTCCAGTTGGATCCCTTGGGGTCAGATGTCCACACTGTGCTTCTCGGGGCAGTAGAGTGGACTGAGAGGGGTACGTCTGCAGTGGAGTAATGGCCTCGCTGGGCCACAGCAATCCAGGCCTTCCACAGGGTCGGCCGTGGCTTTGGTCCCAGCCTCAGTGAGGTAGCCACCGTCTGCCAACCTCCTGGTCATGGAACCCTCTTGGCAGGTGAGCGGGTGAGCAACCTGGAGGAGCTGCCTCTCAGTGAGTATCGAGAGTACATCAAGGTGCTGACTGACAAAGGCACGGAGGTGGCCACCAACCTGGTGATTCTCTGCAACGGTGTCAAGATCAACAGCTCTGCCTACCGCGGCGCGTTTGGTAAGCAGGTGGCCGAGCCATGTTCGCCTCCCCGGGCTACCTCCTCACTTTCCAGCGCTCCCTGAGACCGTCCTGCAGTCCCCGCTCCCAGGAGGCAACAGCTCCCTGCCTTCCCGCTTCATCCCGGCAGCGCACTTGCTTACTTCTGAATTGTGGCATTGAACTTTAAATTCAGGTTTAAACTCTTGCTGTGCCTTACTCAGCTGCAAGGATGGCTTAGCTCAAGGTGGCCACGGTGTCCAGAATCTTCTGAAATTAGGGCTGCTCCTATGAGTAAGAGGTGGGAACAGGTTTCAGGGAGAGGAGAAAGATCCATTTTGTTTCTTTCCTTCTCACACAGACGCAGAGGAAGCCTGGGGCCAGGCCTTTCTGTATGCACAGGTGCACTGCTCTCCCTAAACCCAGATCCAAACATTTGTCCACTTGAACTTGGAACAACCATTTGGGGAGTGGGGACGATAATGTGGCCTCATTTCTTAAAGCTCAACATTTATTTAACTAACTGGAGGAGGGGGAGGTGGACTGACATGTGTTTAAGTCTCCATGTGTGAGCAGGAGACTCAGTGGCCAGGCCCTGTGGTTGCTTTCTGTCCCCAGGTCTCCGTCATTTATTCCCGAGTACCTTCCCCAACACAGACCTCCTGCCTTGTGTCCAAAAGGAGGTCATTATCCAATCTCAGAAGAAGTCAGTCAGGCCATGCAGGGGGGTGGGACTGAGGGCTTATAATGGACAGAGATCCCAGATTTCAACTCCTAATTGTCCTCATGTTGTATTTTCAAAAATAAGTTCTAAGTCCCTTAACAAAAGCAGTTTAACATTTATTAATGCCTGGCATTTATTTTAAAAATCAGATCAATGATGGCATTCAAAAGGAAATCTAAGACTTGGCTAATCATTATAATTTTTTAAGAGTTATATGCATTTTATAAAAGGAGGCCTGCTGGTGTTCTGACCTGATTCCCCCCAGGGATCAGTAACCTTGCCTTTGCAGGAAGAGGTCAGAGGTGGGGACTTTGGGCAGGAATAAATTAGGGGGGAAGGACCGCCCCTTAAGCACGAGCCTTTGGAGATGACTTGACGTGCAGCTAGACATTGCTCTCACCATGCCGGTGGCTGCCTAGCCTGGCAGCTCAGTGTCTTGGTTTTGGTGTTGTTTGCCCAGCAGAGAGCAGACTGGCCAGCAATGGTGCTCTGAGGGTGAATGAGCACCTCCAGGTGGAGGGTTACAGCAATGTTTACGCCATCGGAGACTGTGCCAATGTGAAGGAGCCCAAGATGGCCTATCACGCCGGCCTCCATGCCAATGTGGCTGTGGCCAACATCATCAACTCCGTGAAACAGAGGCCCCTCAAGGCCTACAAGCCAGGTAGGGGAAGCCTGTGTATTTCAGTTTCAAGAGAATTGGGGTTAGACATGGCGGAGGCCTTTTTGGGCTATCAGATGACCGACCACTTGAACAAAGTTTCAAAGCGGGTGACAGAAACATCCCTCTAGAGCTCTTTAAAAATAAATCAGGAGAAATAACATATTAAAAAAAGAAAAAAAAAATCACCCACCTTCCTAAAATTCTCACACATTTCCCCGCCCTGTGTCCAGCAAAGGTTTGCACTCTGGGAGGTGCAGGCGCACGATGGTTAAGCAGGACCCTGGTTTGCACATGTGTCTTTGCTCCACAGGTGCACTGACGTTCCTCCTGTCCATGGGGAGAAATGATGGC